CCCGAAACCCAAAATCTTGCCTAAAACCTGAAATTTTATTAAAACTCGAAATATTTTCAAAACCCAAAACTTCACCTGAAACCTAAAATTTTATTTATAGCTGTTTTTATTTGCTAAATAATTTTTTAACCAATTTGATTAAGTTATTAATTTTGGCATAATATATTTAATATAAAATTTAAGATTAGGTGACTAATATAAAATTTTTATAAAATTTTTTTTTAAAATTGTTTGAAATAGTTTTGATTTTTAAACAGAAGTTTATTCTTATACTATTTTTATTGCAGAATATTAAAATAAAGAAAGTTTAATTAAATGTTTATTTTATAATATTAGTTAATTTAGAGAATTTTATTTAAATAAAATTTATTATATCTTTTTTATCAAATATTGATATGACTTTAAGTTGGTAAAATTATATATAACAATACTATTATATTTACAATTACTTGAAATTATATTTTTTTCAATTACTCTACATATAGTAAGTTGTGATAAAATTTGGTCTATTTGTAAATAGATAACAAAAAAAGAAAAATAAATTTATTAATTAAAATTTTAAATTATTAATTAAAATATATTCTTTTTATTAGGGCTGTAATAAATATCACATAATATTTTTTTACTATACCCCCCCCCTCCTCCTCACATAAGAGAAATTTGATTGGCTCTTATAAATTTAATATTTAATATAAGATTTCAACAATCTCTCCCTCTAAAAATATTATATAATATTTATCATTACCCATATTATTTTATTTATATAAATATATTTTTATCAAATATTTTATAAAAATAAATTTAATTTATATATTGTAATTTTAAAATTTTCAAATTATATTTTTGAAAGTTCAGATTATAGTTTCAAAATTTTGATTTATAGTTTTAGGGTTTTGGATTATAGTTTCGGAGTTTTGGGTTTCGGGGTTTCAGTTTTTTTTTTAAAAAACTGAAACTAGTTTTGGATTAGTACCTTCCAAAACTAGTTTCGGGTAGGTTTTGTTTCGAGTACCAACTTTAAACCATGACATTTCAGTATTGCCTTTGATAAGCTATATCGAAAATATAGTAAAATATGAACTTTATAGGTATTACTAGGATTGCACTCAACTAATAAAATCATAATGACCTAGTTACTTAAGTACATGTTATCGGTTATGTTGTAAACGATAGCTAATTGTCGTCGGGATATAATGCGGAGCATATACCGCGAAGCGACACATGCTCCGCGTTATAAATCCCGACGATAATTAGACTCACCGGCTGCGGGATCCCTAATTTCTCCCCCAGTTCTGATTGGACATTTGTAAATGCCGTCTTGATTGGACAAAGTAGACTACGCAACTCTTCGTCTACCAATCAAATTATTTGAAGTTTTTTCAATAATTGCCAGTAACTTAAAATTTTGGTTACAAAATCACTTTCCGTGTTCTAACAAAAAAAATCCCTTGCAAAATTTTATTGTAGTATGTGTTCTATTAGACCTTTGTATTGTTTCAACAATACTTCCATTATTTGATCGGAAAGCAGGAATTTTTCTTCGTCCAATAGGGGAAAATTAGTAAACCCATCGGGGGTAATTTAACTGATAACATTTTTATCAGTAATATCTGACGTAAGCACTGACATTTTTCGAATGTATTATTCGATTTTTCTAATCATTAACTCACTTTTAGGCCGTTCAAAGTTGAATAGTTGTTTAACGTCATCCCCCCCTCTTGGTTAGCCGTCCCCCCGGAAATTAAACAAGCCAATCACAATGCAAGATAATCTTCAATAATCTTGTGATTAAGGTTGACCAATGAGATTTGACCCAATATTCTGTGTCGTATATGTGTTTGTTTAAATTTTCCCTCCCCCCCGAGCCTGAGCTCAAAATGTTGACGTTAAACAACTAATCAACTTTGAACGGCCTTATTATTATTATTCTTATTATTATTATTTTTGCTTACTTTTTCACTTTCGCTCACTATTTTTTTTTTTTTTTTTTTAAATTTTGTTTGCTTTTTTTCTTTCGCTCAACTTTTTTTCTTAAATTTCACTAATATGAATTTTATGAGTTTCACAACTTCCTACGCAAGAAAAAATAAAATCAGAAAAGTGATCAAAAAATTGATTTATCACATGATTAGAAAGTGATCGAATAATATATGAGTGCTGTCAATAGAAAACCTGTCATCGGTTTTTCAATGTACAGCTGGCTTTCTACATACCGTCTATGGACAATCTACTATCAGATATTCAATTATATATTGTGTCGGACATACCGTATATCAGGCACGAAATATAATTGAATATCCGACCGATGATAGATTGTCCATAGACGGTATGTAGAAAGCTAACCGTACATTGAAAGCCCGATGACAGGTTTTCTATTGACAACACTCATATACAAAAAACGTCCAGTGCGCACATAAGACATGTCGGATAATGATTTATATCTTGCTATATTTTTTTATATTTTTCTATATTTTTCTGTATTTTTAGATTACACTTAATAAATTTATAAGAAAGAAGTTATAATATCTTTAATTGAAAATTTTAATTAGCAATTAGAAAATTGGAGTGTTATAATTTGGTTTTTTAAAAATTATTTACACAGCAAATTAAAATATATTAAAATTTACTATTATTAAAACCTAACTATTTATCAATATTACGAATTTCTTAATTTTTAAAGGGTACTTTTAGGCATCTCCCGCGTAGAGATGGGTTCGGTCACGAACGGTCAAAATTTTCATAGCCGATTTGCTAAATACTGAGATGATTTTTTTACTTTTAAGCTTTTAATAGCACTATCATAACATAAATAATCTTTAAAAAATTTTGGACGATATATCTCCCACAGAAAATGCCTATTATTTTCCTTTTTCTAAGTGTAAATAATATTCAAATACTAAATTTTAATATACTATGATTTAATTTCGATAGCTAAAAAAATGAATTTATTTAGCATTCACCGGAGATGAAATTCTCCACGATATTTTTTTAATTATTAATTATTATATGATCTATAGACAATTCACCGCAAATTTTAAAGCTAAAATTAAACTAAGACTTAAATTAAGGTAGAGGTTAGGTTTTTTTTAGGGTGCTGGACACCTTTACTTAGTTACCAAATACTGATTATCAAAGCAGTTTTTGAGAAACAATATAACCGGTGAATTTCATCTCCGGTGAGCGTTAAAATCATCAATAAAAAATACTGTGCAATTAAACAAAACAAAAACATTAAATCTATAGGTATTATTTGATTAATCGTCATATATTGAGTGTAACTTAAAAATCTGCGCACCCCAAAGTATTACCCCAAAACGATCTGTGCATGCGTGACTTCATCTATTCCGTATAGCGCTGCATATAGTACCATGCGTGACAAATAATTTAAATCAATTTTTTAAATATTCTTTATACGATTATGTGATATATAATACGTGTGATTTTTTAATTTTTCACTATTTAAAAAATCGTGTCACACCTATACGGTATTCCAAATATGGAGCAATACTCTTGTGATGTAAGACTATTTGTGAATAAAATTACACTTGTCATATATCATTATATACGAATAAGCACTCAAAAAGAGTAAGCTGTATAGTTTACTAAGTCTCTTTGAGCCTAATATATAAATATTCGGCAAACGTCCGACATTAGATGTCGGCCTTTTCCGTCGTCCAAGAAAATATATAAATGTTCATGATTTTCTTTACCTTTTTTTTGAATAGCTTTAAGATACTGAATTTAATTATAAACAGTACTCTAAATACATTATACATTATCGCGGATTGTATATCTGATTTTCAGAAATCTTATATATAGGATGTTCGATTTTTTTTAAACATCCGAGTACATAAGGAAGTCTTTAAGGTGTAATAGTTAGGGTGCAGGTATAAACAAAAATTCTTATCTTAAAATACTAATTTAATAGAAAATAAAATTATATTCACGCCCGAAGAAAGCGCATTTGCAGTTATTTATCTTTACATGTTCAACCAATCAAAATTTCAAAATTTGTTCAACACACAGACATCAGATCTACTATTGTTCCGTTTATAGTATTCTTCGGACAATTACTATCCGTTTCCACTTAACACATATAATGTTAAATTTTTGCTTCATCGCAATTTTTTTTTTTTTTTTGCAAACCTAACCTTAAAATAAAAAATGAATTTTATACACTTTCCTTAGGAATTTACGGGCAAAATCCCGATCTCAGTCGTGAACATGTATCTGGGCATTCTTAATGAGGCATCAAATTAACTAAAAGCATTGCATAATCAATATTCAACAAAATAAATAACCTTACCATTAATAACAAACGTTGTAAGTATTGGGCATGATCATTGTTTTAAGTGATATTAAATTTTTTAAATTTAATTATTTATTATTCAGGATAAAAAAAATACATGCTTGTGAAATAATAAATATGCGAACAAGAAAGTAATTTCTGTGCCAGATTCCATTCTCAAGTAAAATATTTAAACTTGGATATCCGTTTCGACTTAAAGCTAAAGCTATAAATTGGTGCTTATTTATTGCACGCTAATAAAATGGTAATTCCGCTAAGATGTTACATGTGTATAAAACCAATTAAGATTTAAAAAATAAAGATGCGCATACAGACCATACAATTCGTTCAGGTACTTATTAATTGTTTCTAAAATATTATTTCAGCTAATTTTTTTTTTTAGTTGTTAAAAAATCCGCTGATGCATAGGGTAGTAATCATTAATATGATTATGACCAACGAAGGAGGTGAATCATTTGAGAATCATTGACGTAGTCAAATTATTTGTCTTATAATTTTGATGAACAATCACATATAATATATATATAACCTTTATAATGCGTTTCTGACTTTTCTATTCTGAAATTTAATAAATTAATTTCATCAAATAGAAGTAAGGTTTTTAATATATCAAACCAACCGCAAAATCAAACGCACCTATCGTACCTTATATATTTGCACTCAGGTCTATCGCCGATAGTCATAGCTGGCGCTACCGTATTTTATATATTTGCACTCAGACTTATTGTCGATAGTCATAGTTGGATTGTAGTGCGCATTATTATTTGTGGACATGTGTTCAGATGACATCATGGGATAGTATGAAGTATTCTGAAAAGTATCATTGGCTGCACCAAAGGAAGGATCTTCATATTCAAACATAAAAGGTGAAATACTTGGAGGATTACAATAATGAGAGTTTCCAGAGAAAGTACTCAATGTTTGAGATGATGTAAATGGATTAAATAGTGGAATATTACAATAGGAGTTTTCGGAGAAAGGACTCGATGCTTGAGATGACGTAAGGGCATTAAATGGTGATTGGAGCTCAGGGTTGAGGAGTGCAACGGAAGTATATTGTGCATCTTGTTGAGCTGGCGTAAAAGCATTAGCATTAAAGGGGGAGAAAGTGTTTTTCTCATGTTGCTGAGATGGAGACGGTGAAGGCGGCAACGAAGAACTCACGACAGGTAAAGCTGGCGTGGGCTCTATCAATATTGAAGATAAGTAATGTTAAGTAATGATTATATGCATCGTTTATAATTTTTTTTTTTTTTTTAATTTTCTTACCAATAGTTATCGATCGCTTGTTTGGATTAAAAGATTTATGCGATTTATTAATTTTTTGAACAAATTCTATGATCGTAAAATTAGCATTAATAGAATACGCAGAACTTGCCAACAAAAAGTTACTATTACGTGATTAAAGCTTAACGCAAACACGCACAAACAATATTTCTCAGAAATCGTGTATTTTCGCATATTTTCACCAATTTTATAAGAACCCAACTTTAATATGGCAACAAAAATTTTCCCTTGGGAAATTTTATTGTATACTTTACCCTGACGTTAACCCTAACATAAACGAAGTTAAAGACTTTTATCAGTGCACTATGCACTACTACGCGACAGTAACTTTTTGTGGCAATACTGGAAAACATTAGAATACAGTGCGACTTTGACGAACATTACCAGGGGTAATTTCAATTTCATTATTATTAGAATATTGAATATAAAGTTTTTGCACAATGATATATCTTTCAGATGAATCTTTAATATTATTGATTATTACAGATGTAAAAAGTTCACGTTCTTGCATTTATTGCGATCATAAAAATGATGATTCTTCATACCTGTTTTAGTCATTGCACAATTCTCACACGGATTAAACCGTTTTTTATTTTCAAGTTCCTTATTTTCGTTTTCACGTTTCTTATTTTCACAATTTTTACATAAAAACAAGCACCATTTCTTTGTAGCCTTACATCTATCACATCTAAGCGTTCCGGGACTTCCGCCATAATGGCACGCTTGCTTATCAATAGAGCAATTGAAACATCTTTCAGAAAATTGCATAGAGTTTGGCATTTTCCAATCTAGTAAAAAAAAAAAAAAAATGAAAAAAACTAAATAAAAAAAAATGAAAAAAAATGAAAGAGATATTTTATATTCTGCCAAGGAGTTAGATATTAATATCACTCGAGCAGAAGCCCGTAAAATTTTGAGACAATATCACTCGAGCAGAAGCCCGTAAAATTTTGAGACAATATCACTCGAGAAGAAACCCATAAAAAATTGAATTTTATTTATAGAAATTTATAAATAAAATCCGAAAATTTAGAGTCGTGGCTCCGAGCTAAAAATTTTGGATTCATTGATCGCTATATAATGTATCGCACTTAATAAAAATAAAATACATATTTTACATATTTGGGGGTCGTCTAAAGCCGTGTCCATCACGTGACCTAAAGCCAATAGAATTGTTTATTTTGATCGACACGG